TCGGGCGACGTCGTGTCTACTTCAACAATACATTTGCATGGTATCCGATTGACGGCACACACACTCCTATATTATCGTTTTTAGGCATTTTTTTTATTGCCTTTTTATTATTCTCTTATCGATTTTTAACTCAAACAAAACAAAAAAGTCTTTCGAGCTAATTTTTACATTCATTATTTTAACTATTTAGCTATAAATTTAGTAATTTTCCAGTTCGAAATTACTGTAAGATTTTTTGTATTTTTATAAGAATTTAAGCAGAATTTAGAGGTTAATTATGATTTATTCTATAGGAATATTGCACTGTAAAAATACATATAATTGCCAACTTATATTGCTTGTTTTAAAAATCCGTATAAAAAGTACTGTTTTTTTTAACGTAAATTTTATTAATAATTTAAATTTTTACAGGTATAAAAATTGCATTAAAGTGATAAGACATCCCGATAACTCGACAGGTGAGAGAGAGAGAGAGAGAAACTGCGATGAGGACGATGAATAATCTGTTACAAACCTATGGATTTTTCTACAAGAAAAGATTTTTAGAGGATGATTAATGCTTTTCAATCTTTATAATCCTCTCAAATCCCCTTTTTATATTCATTGAAAAGCACTAGACAAATACAGGAACCCATCCAATCAAAAAAAGATTATTTTCATAAAAGTATATTTAGTCTATTTTAAGTTAAAATAAAAANATTAATGCTTTTCAATCTTTATAATCCTCTCAAATCCCCTTTTTATATTCATTGAAAAGCACTAGACAAATACAGGAACCCATCCAATCAAAAAAAAGATTATTTTCATAAAAGTATATTTAGTCTATTTTAAGTTAAAATAAAAAAGGAATCGAACGTATATTGTACTATTTTTACACTTAAAATATTTATTAAATAAGATTTTTATACATAAATCAATGTAAAAGAAGAATTCTAGATCAATCAGATTCTAGATTTCTAGATAAAAACGTTGCTTTGTTACGTAATTAAGAAATTGATGAATTGTTTATCGTATTGTTATTAATAAATTCTACGATTTTACGCGTATAAGAATGATTTTAATGAGGAATATTTCATAAATATTCCTTCTTAATATTAAGAATTACGTATATTTTGAATAAAAGTTAATATATTAGGAATTAAAAAGGAGAGAAAAACATGGAAAGAGAAATATTTAGTATTTCTCGTATACCAGTCGACCCCCCCCCCTATAGGATTGTTGATTTTTCCGTTTTATATGAATTCCATGTTGTACGAGTCACTTAGATTTTACAAATACATGTGCCAGGCTGTGAACGGCTCACATATTTGTAAAATCTAAGTGACTCGTACAACATGGAAATCATATAAAACGGAAAAATCAATAGTGTTATAGGGGGTCGACTGTATTAATACATAAAATTCGAGAGATGATTTTCCTATAATAATAATTAAAATATAGAAGGTAATAGTAAAAATTTACTAAATAAAAAAAAATTAATTTAAAATTTTAACGGCTGAAAAATTAAGGATGAAATTCGAGAGAAGTAATCTTATCTTAACGTCATTTGATCTTTCTCTAGAACCCCTCTCGCCTTAGGATAGCTTTAAAAGAAAAGAAAAAAAAAGATTCAAATTCAGACATATAAAATTTCGGCTACAATCTCGTCTTTTGATAAAGATTTCTGTCTGTTTTAAGAATTTTTATAAGAAATAAACGAACGATTAATCGTTAGAAAAGAACAGGAATCATCTCAATGATGGATGACACGTCTTTAGCTCTATAATTTTTCACATTTTATAAGTGATTATTGAGAATAAGATGTCTTTTATTGTTCGATTATGAATTTAGAATATATTATAACGTGAAGGCCTATTATAAAGTTAAATTTCGGATAATATTTCGAAGAAGAAAGGGATGATTCGGGTTATTGATATAAAGTTTTATATAAAAAGAACAAAGATATAATCGATTATGACCTAAAAAATGAAGCGTGACGAACCAACTTTAATTAGTTTCGAGTCCAGGAAATAATGGAAACTTTGTTTTAGATCCTTTCCCCCTCTTCTTCTATTCTTTTTTTTAAAGATTTAAATACATGAATAATGAATTATAGTAAATATTTATCACGAATTTTAAAAAAAAGACTCATTGTTTTTCATTTAAAAATCTGCTTGGGTGTTCCAAAAAATAAATTTTTTTTAAAAAACATTTAATAATTAGTAAGGCTTTAAACACATTTAAATTATAATTAACGAAAACTTAATTAAGTATGATTTAATGACAGATAAATTTTTATAATAAATAGATAGTCCAATTAAGTCGAAGGTAACATCTTAATTAATTAATTTTCAAAGTGTATTTACCTTATTTTAAGTGTGTTATACACGAAAATAACACTAAGAGTAGAGGGGGGAGGAGGGTTATAAAGCTTATTTTTATCCTCTTATCTAATATATAATTGTGCTAGAAGCTATAATTTCCTCCCTCCTATATATCTAGTCGAAGGTCAGAGATTCTTAATGAAATCAATAGAAACTGGTAGTAATTATCGAACCAGTAATTAGCTTCTAATTACTTGTATATACTTGGCTTCTTTAATATGATTCTGTGTTAAATCGAGGTCGACCCGAACGTGTCTTAAGCATTAATGAATTAAAAAAAAAAAAAGAAATTATCCTTCTTATAACTTAAATTAAAACATCTTTCAAATCCTAATTTTATAGACAATAATTTTTTGATGGTATTTTGATGGATAAGCTTTGTTTTTCTCGTTTGATTCGTCTTCTAGGGAATTTCTTTGGTTTAATTTATTTAAATTGACATAGAAAAAAAATCACATTTATCAATATGAAAGCCGAGAACTTGTTTATAAAGGCGTTAATTTGAAAGATGCATGTAATATATATTTTTTTTTAAATAATAAGTCAGAAGAGCGTGACTAAATGATCACGGTTTAAGTATTGTTTGTGCTCTCTCACGTAAAGTTTTTGATGTTTTTTACAAATTTTTTAGAAGAATTTTAATTAAATTAAAGTTTTTATAAAATTATTAAACATTTTTGACATTAATTAATAGTTTTTTTTATATTTTTTTATTTTTTTGGGAAGAATAAAACATACATCGTTTAATACAGTCGACCCCCCCATAACACAGTTGATTTTTCCATTTTATATGAATTCCATGTTGTACGAGTCACTTAGATTTTACAAATACGTGTGCCGAGTTGTGAACGGTTTACGTATTTGTAAAATCTATGTGACTCGTACAACATGGAATTCATATAAAATGGAATTATCAACAGTGTTATAGGGGAGTCGACTGGTACTTTTCTTCTAAATAATACATTATATAAACCCGAAAACAATTTAAATATTAGTAATTTATACATAAACTAATACTTTTTATTACATTTATTAACAGTTTAGAGATTTATTTATTTAATTTTTATTAATATAATCGAAATTTATGCATATGTTTGGTTTCTTTCGTAGAATCTTTATAAATACCCAGTCGACCCCCCCATAACACTGTTGATAATTCCGTTTTATATGAATTCCATGTTGTATGAGTCACTTAGATTTTATAAATATGTGAGCCATTCACAGCCCGGCACACGTATTTGTAAAATCTAAGTGACTCGTACAACATGGAATTCATATAAAACGGAATTATCAACAGTGTTATAGGGGAGTCGACTTGTAACTTATACAGGAAATTATCATTATGAATATAAAGAATAACAGAATAATATATAATACATTACATAAAATGCCATCTTAAATATGAAATTTTAATGGATTTTGATATCAAAATCAAGTTCAAGATAGAGATAATTGTGTATATATATTGTTAAATAATTAAGACATTCATTAAAAATCCTTCATAAACGTTACTGAATCAACGTTTTATTATGATTTACAACGTTTATTTAAATTAATTTCGTATAAATTAAATTATATATTGAATATTATTATTGTCATATTTCGATATTTATTATCATAAATTATAGAATAGTTATCTACATTTATAATGGAAACTTAATTTAGTGTGATATATTATTAAGTTTGTTCATCTCTTTAATTAAATTATAGGTAATTTATTCATCTATTTTTTCAAATTTTATTACGTTTAAGTCTTTTGTTACATTCATTACTTGCTCATTTATTTTGTTCCTGTTATGCAACCGCCTGTTATTTATATTAATTTACAATTTAATAGGTGTAGTTCATTATCTTCATATTCGAGTCCATCTTATAGATACTGTATGCATCTAAATGCTATATTAGTCGAGATAGATATCGGCAATCTTAATTTACTTAGACTATTATGTTCTATATTGAATATCTACATAAGGAGATCACTATATTATTAAGTTATTATTCATATTGACTAGTAACTTTAGGTATATACATAATTTATATCTAGATAATGAATATAATAGTTACTGTATTATACTTTTTGTGTTTAGAAGCTACGTGTAGAATTTCTTATACAGCAAGATTTTTAGCTTAATAATGCACCCCTTTTTTTTCATTATGTGAGAGCATTAAACATGGGAACACGTGTTTTTACACTAAGGAGAAAAAAAACAAGTATAGTTTCCGTTTAAAGAACAATAAAACTTTTTTATTAGGAATCCAACCCGGTTAATAGTTTTCGTGGTTGTCAAGTTTACTTTTTAGCAAGCATTAATTGACCGCCAGCCATAGATGCAATTACCGCCCACAGAGAAGGTGGAGCCCAAACCTAATGGAATATTGGGCAAAACGAGCTAATTAATTAAAGCAGAATCATCTTCAAACTTGTCAAATTGTCAAGCTGTAAGCCATACGAATAAATAACAATCTAAATAAATATATTTTTAAATATATAACATTTATTTTACTTAAAAATTACAGAAAAATGTTGAAGAAAGCGCGCGAACCATAGTCTTCTTCAAGAGTTTACAAGTTTTGTCACACTTTCTTTTTTTCTTTTTAATAGAATAATTTGATAAAATAACTCACATTTACACTATATACACTTAAATATAGTAGAATTTACTCATCGACGAGGAGTTCACTTAAAGCAATTATATAACTCTGAGCCATTTGAAGAGTTTCGTACTTGGATAACTTTTTGTTGTCATCGAACGATGGAACAACTGCTCTGAGTCGATCGAATGCCACGTTTAAACTGTGCATTCTTCTTCTTTCTCGAGCATTAGCTGCTAATCTTCTCTTCTTCATGATTACGGTAGAAGATTTTGTATTCTTTTTCGTTTGGTTGTTGTTCCTCTTCTTCTTAAACGATGGTTCTTGCTGTTGCTGATGATGATGATGATGATCGTCGGAATCCACTCTCTGTTCCTGATGATCTGAATCCATTCCGGGCACATTACAATGATGAAATCCTTTGAGGTTTTGGCTGATCAGGCGGTCCTTTCGATGTTTATAAGGACGAGTGTGCGGCTAAGGCGGCATCCCAAACCAATCCCCTGATATACCTCGAAGGCAACAAGTTTTCCCCTCATCAACCGGAAATATCTTGCTGGCTCCGGGGAAGAAGAAATGCTAGAGTTAAGTTACCTCATACTATTGAAGGTAGGAAGTTTTTATTTATTTATTTATATTTAAATTTGTTTAAAAATAACAAACTCTGATTTTTTTTTCTAAATTACATTTGGAGCTTGGTTATTAGCTTACATTATTACTAAAAATAGATTTATGATTATATTATATAAATAATTTATTATAATATGAATAATTTCCTACTTCTTAATGGGCGTAAACTGCTTGGGGAAAAGAGCCTTAAGATGATTTGTTAGAGGAAAATTTCCGCGATTTTTATGTAAAGATCGCCGGTTTTTTTTGAATATTAAACGCGTGTTATAACCATTTTTAATGAACGATTTGTGAAGAAATGCCTTACGGAAATACTTAATTCTCATTCGTTAACCACAATTACGCTATCGAGACAATTTTTTAGATAACAGAGATGCTTTATTTGTACTTAAATATAAACTCTGAAATCATTTTTAACAGATCATATATATATATATATATATAAATGGTCGAATTTGGGGATTTCATTGTCTTAAGTTTGAATCGAGAGTAAAAATGTTCTGATCTGCATGGGTTGAAATGATATTGTCAGGTTTTTCACTTCTTCACTTTCATCTAAAAAAAAGGTTGAAAGTAAATGAGGTCTAAATTATATACTACAAAACTTATAAAAATAGACTTACCTGTGGATCGAGCTTGATCATTCCATGATAGATTTTCTGCTTCGTCTAAGAAAATATTAGCTCCGAGTGCCATTTCTCTAGCATTCACTATAGAAAATGGGCTGAATAGTTCCTAGAAAAGGATAATTTTGTTTAATTAATTAACCATAATCATAAATATACGGCGTAATGACATTTAATCGTCTATAAAGAGATTGCACAGAGAATTTCTCAAAGATTTTGGTATCTTCACACCCTTAAAATGAATAATGCAAATGATTTCTTTAGGTTATGAATAGAGGAAAACAATAAATTGTAATGTTTATCTGTTTCCTTATTTCCCAATCTCAAAGAGAATATTTTAATTCTTAACATTGCATCTGCATTTCCTAGGATAGAGAACGGAAGTGAGATATACGATTTCGGAAGCGACGTCATACATCTCACGTAAGTATAATGCGCTGTTACGTCAGTGTTACGTTCTCTGTAGATGAACACAGCTTTACTCTATCGAATTTCCTAATTTTAAATAGTTTAAAGGGGAGGAAAAAGACATTCAAAAGCAAACAGAAATGGAGAGGATGGGAGAGAATGAAGCAAAAAATGATTACTTAATAAATTAAAATTAGTTAACTTACTGCCAATGATACATTTGCCGGTTCTGAAAATGTAGGATGTTCACCAAAACCATAGAAATGCTCCAATCGAAGTAGAATATTCGTTCCAAGCGATTCCAAGGTTAATAAATGAATATTTTCTGGTAATCTATCTCTTAAACCTGAGAACTTCCGCAGAAAAACAAACACGCGTTATAAAAACAATAATAATATCACCTTCTAAACAAATTTAGAATAAGAATTAACACATATTCACCTGATCTAAAATATCCAAATCTGTTAAATTTCCGAAAGTAAAGGATAAAACAGGAGGAAGAAACATCCTTTGGGACAATTGACGATACAGAGAATCTCCAGTAGGTCTCAACAGTAGCCAATGTTTACCTCTAACAATCAAACCTTTTCCATCAATTCCAAACTCGTTTAGAGGTTCTTCAACTCCAAATCCATCATCGAACAATAAGCGACGATGTAACTGTTAATTTATAGAAATAAAATATTTAAAAAAAGTAATCTTTTCAAGCTTGATCTATCTAATTAATATATATATATATATATATATAGTTTTTAATTAATCAAATTAATATACTAGTACTATACTTATGTACAGTAGTAGTCCCTATATTGTAGACGGAGATATGTAGTCACCATTATTTCGATGGAGCCATCAAAAATGCTGCTAGCACCTTCGGCACGATCGGGTATTATAGTCATTTGTAATTTTCTATCTTCGTCCTACAATATTTTTATTACCATTATCTTTATAATTAATTAATTAATTAGATTATTATTATTATTTGTCGTTTATTGTTGATACCTTGATGTGAACCCACGAGTTAATTGGATAATAATTACTGGAAATTTTTTCTGTCAGATTTAGAGGGAATGCAGAACGAAAATCTCTCCTAAAATCAATTAAATTATTTAATATAATTAAGTAAAATAAGCGAGAAATATTTTAAAAGAATTCTTTTACTTTCTCTTTATAGTCTGTCTGGCATTGCTGTCTGTATAGAAAGTGCCTTGAGTAGACAGAGATGTTTCGTAAGTTGTAATGATTTCCTTGCCAATTCTGTCTCTAAAATATAATTATTTGGTATATAAAGGCCTTACATTTTATCTGAAATTATTATTTTTTTAAAAAAAATATGCTATTACTCTATAGGTATAGGACCGACTAGCCAGTCGAACTCTATATGATGTTCTCCCTTATATACTCTAATTGTCTGTGATAACCAAGGAGTGAAAGTTTGATGCACTTCTTCCACCAAAGGACCCTAAAAACATTCAAAAATGTAACTATATATTATACAATAAGTCGAACTCTATATAAACAACGACTTATTTATTTATATATTTTACCTTATTGACCCTAAAAGTGACATTTTCGTGTAAAGAAAATGCATAATCGAATCTAGGATTGAATGCGTAAGCACCAGAAGGTCTTTCGTGACGAAATCCTGGTTGAGCTTCGTACCAGTAGAAAGATTGTCTTAAAGGAACACGAAGATCTCCCAGGATCATTTCTTTTATCAAACCTGTTCGACTTTCTATAACTACTTTCAAATTCTAAGTAAAATTTACATATATTTTATTTTAAAATATTTAATATATGATTAAGAACTGTATACAGGATGTTTCAAAAATGGCTTTACAACTTGAGGGCGAGATATTAGTCAACTGATAGAAGAAACATATCATTTTACAACATCGAAATGTAGTCAAACACATCAAGTTTTATTCCCAATAGGGAATTTTTTTATCGTTTAATGTAACTTCTATTTGTTATGCTGCAGCTCTCCCTAATCTGCTCCATGGCATCTTGTTATGGTGCATAGAACATCCAGTCTCAAGAAAATTCCTGTGCCACGTGTAAGCAAGCCATCAGTAAATTGTATATTGCAGTTAATCTATTGCAAGAAATTCCTTTGAACCTGTGTAGAAGACTTGTTTCTTCGAACCAAAGCACCCAACAAGCTCGCTCTGTACCTGTGAAAGCAATCATCATGATACTGATTGATCACATTGCAGTGGGAATTTTACGTGAATAAAACTCAGTGTTTATGGCTAAATTTATGTATTTAAAAATATCGTGCACGTCTTTTATATACATTTTTATTCTCCTACAAAGTTGTAAAGACAATTTTAAAACAGTCTGTATATAAAAACTGTTTATACTTCATTTCCAATTGTTACATCACCAGCATTCGTTTCCTGATTGAGATCGTCGGATAATCCTAAATTATATGATTTTATTTGTTAAAATATATCTTTAAAAATTATTTAACAGATGATAAATTTACTTACCACCTCGCTGCAATACTTCATATACTGAAATACCTAAAGGAGGAACATTAACAGGAAATATAAGTTCTCTATCTGCCCAGCTTAATCTTTCGGGTAATAATTGTATTTGATTAGGAATTGGAGAAATCTATTAAAAATTAATATATTTTAAATTCTGTTATTAATATTATGCCTAAATTTTTTTAATATAAATTAGTATATTTACCTGAATGGGAACCTCATTATTATGCCCATCGATAACCAAATAATTTTCTGCTACGACTGGAAGGCGTATATATTCGGTAATATTTATAGATAAAGGATTATACACTACTAGAAAAAACTAAAAAGTAAATTTTAAAAAATATATTAGTTAAATTAGTTAAAATATCTTAAATAAATTCATCAAAATTCATTTTATTTATGTAATATTAGAGAGGTTGCGGCCTCTTTTATTTATGTATATTTAGAGAGGTTCAACGCAAAAACGTGTACTTCGGACGTTCAGCGCCGCCTCCCTGTAAGCCTAGAAGTTTGACAATGGCGTTTGTAACGTGATCGACGTTCCAAACGCCATTGTCAAACTTCTAGACGTTCCAAACGCCAATGTCAAACTTCTAGACGTTCCAAACGCCATTGTCAAACTTCTAGACGTTCCAAACGCCATTGTCAAACTTCTAGACGTTCCAAACGCCATTGTCAAACTTCTAGACGTTCCAAACGCCATTGTCAAACTTCTAGACGTTCCAAACGCCATTGTCAAACTTCTAGACGTTCCAAACGCCATTGTCAAACTTCTAGACGTTCCAAACGCCATTGTCAAACTTCTAGACGTTCCAAACGCCATTGTCAAACTTCTAGACGTTCCAAACGCCATTGTCAAACTTCTAGACGTTCCAAACGCCATTGTCAAACTTCTAGACGTTCCAAACGCCATTGTCAAACTTCTAGACGTTCCAAACGCCATTGTCAAACTTCTAGACGTTCCAAACGCCATTGTCAAACTTCTAGACGTTCCAAACGCCATTGTCAAACTTCTAGACGTTCCAAACGCCATTGTCAAACTTCTAGACGTTCCAAACGCCATTGTCAAACTTCTAGACGTTCCAAACGCCATTGTCAAACTTCTAGACGTTCCAAACGCCATTGTCAAACTTCTAGACGTTCCAAACGCCATTGTCAAACTTCTAGACGTTCCAAACGCCATTGTCAAACTTCTAGACGTTCCAAACGCCATTGTCAAACTTCTAGACGTTCCAAACGCCATTGTCAAACTTCTAGACGTTCCAAACGCCATTGTCAAACTTCTAGACGTTCCAAACGCCATTGTCAAACTTCTAGACGTTCCAAACGCCATTGTCAAACTTCTAGACGTTCCAAACGCCATTGTCAAACTTCTAGACGTTCCAAACGCCATTGTCAAACTTCTAGACGTTCCAAACGCCATTGTCAAACTTCTAGACGTTCCAAACGCCATTGTCAAACTTCTAGACGTTCCAAACGCCATTGTCAAACTTCTAGACGTTCCAAACGCCATTGTCAAACTTCTAGACGTTCCAAACGCCATTGTCAAACTTCTAGACGTTCCAAACGCCATTGTCAAACTTCTAGACGTTCCAAACGCCATTGTCAAACTTCTAGACGTTCCAAACGCCATTGTCAAACTTCTAGACGTTCCAAACGCCATTGTCAAACTTCTAGACGTTCCAAACGCCATTGTCAAACTTCTAGACGTTCCAAACGCCATTGTCAAACTTCTAGACGTTCCAAACGCCATTGTCAAACTTCTAGACGTTCCAAACGCCATTGTCAAACTTCTAGACGTTCCAAACGCCATTGTCAAACTTCTAGACGTNCATGTTATACAAGTCACTTAGATTTTACAAATACGTGAGCCGTTCACAGCCCGGCACACGTATTTGCAAAATCTAAGTGACTCGTACAACATGGAATTCATATAAAACGGAATAATCAACAGTGTTATAGGGGAGGGGGGTCGACTGTATAAGGAAAATATAAAAACATCCAATTGATAAAAATACTAACGTAGATTATAACTGTAATCCTCAGTTATATTGGAAAGAGTAATTATTTGTTTGCAAGCCTGAAAAATGAGTAAAACCCTTTACTGAAACTAAAGAAAATTGGCTTTTGGTAAATTTTAGAGATGTTTTACCTGAAGAAATCCATTTGAATAACGTGTAAATCTCTTAATAGCTGGCTTACTACTATAATAACCTGTCCAATATGCATCTGGATCGCTGGCATATGGAAAAAAATCTTCAGTAAAAGTAGGCCAAGTTAAATTTGCTTGATTTAAAGAATGTAAATAACAAGAAGGAGTCGAATAAAAAATGTTAATGTTGCTACCAGATTCTTGCTGAAATTTTTTAGAATTTTAATACATTTTTAAATAAATTATAATTAATTTTTGAATATATTTAATATACCAACTTACCAAATTGTTTATGAATGCCATAAGCTTGTCTAAATTCCTAAACCAACGATCCGCATCCCGATAATGAAAATCCATTCCCATTGTTAAAACAGTATGATTTGTGCGATAATAATTCGCCTAAATTAGATTTTATAATGTAAAATTATAAAGAAATATTTATTAATTTTATAGCATTTCTTTTCTCTTACTTGGTATCTTATAACATCCATAAGTTGCCTGGCTTTGCGATTAATGTTAAAACTCTAAAGAACATCAAATATTTTTACATTAAGTTTTTTTAATATATAAGTTTTTTTTTTAATGTAAAAAGTTATGTATTACCGTTATTTCTGGTTCTCCACACAAATCATCGAAACAGAATCCTTGAGGTGGCCAATATACATTCGGAAGAATTCCAGTGAAGAGTTTAGTGTCTAAATCTTAAAGATAATAAAGGTTTTATTTATTTTTTATAAGGTATAAAACAAGATGACAATGTATAATTTTAACATACTGTAACCAGGATTAGTATTCCATAAAAATTCAAGTCTTCTATTCTGTTGCCTGAAGATCTTATCCTGATAATCTATTCTTCCCAAGAACAATCCATCAAATTTCATCTGAGGAATATTTAACGTTCATAAAATTATAGTGATAATAATAAAATTTGTATTAATACAGTCGACTCCCCCTATAACACTGTTGATTTTTCCGTTTTATATGAATTCCATGTTGTACGAGTCACTTAGATTTTATAAATACATGTGGCGGGCTGTGAACGGTTTACGTATTTATAAAATCTAAGTGACTCGTACAACATGAAATTCATATAAAACGGAAAAATCAACAGTGTTATAGGGAGATCAACTGTACCTGTGCAAATATAGATGCTTGTTCTCTAGAATGGCCAAATGGATCAATTTGCCAACCAATTTTGGGAGTGGCACATTTTCCGAATGTTTCGTTGATCCATCTCATTCCTAAAGTCATCTGATCGATGATGGCTAAATAATGAGTTGTAGCTTCATCATTCATACTCCATCCTCCACTTATTATCTCGAGTTGACCTTATGATTAAGAAAAGAAAATGACTATTTAATAATGCAATATAAATTAATAAAAAAAATTGGGTATTTTTGATACCGTCATCGATTAATTTTCTAATGAGATATTTGGAAAGTTCAGATTGTTCGTTCCACCATCGATACAAAAATGCCGATTCCACATAAATGAATTTTCTTGTTTCGTTAACGAGTAAATGACGTATCACCGAATTTAATATATGTTTAACGACTGAAATTAAAAAATATATATTATAAATTCTTGTAAAATATTTTTTAAAAATTAAACTTACATGTTTGGTAATATTCTTCCACTGTCCTAACCCATCCGACATCATCGTGTGTATGGCATATTACATGGACATTCAACATATTGGGCTTAGGGACGGGACATGACTGAAATATAGTAATATATCGAGATTAAAATACGTTAATTAAAGCTATATAATTTTAATTAATGCAATTTTTAATACCTCATAACCACATACTGCCAATGTGAATGGTATAAATGTCGACAGGCATAAGATTTTTATTAAAATATACATATTGTACCGAATTTTTCTGAAGAATTCTGAAAAATAATATTAAAAGATAATATTTAAATTGATATTAGATATATTTTCGAGAATTTCATGCATATGCAATATAAAAATAATCGAATTTTTAAGATCGTTTTATCTGTCGTACATGTTTTTCTATCACTGAATGCCGTTTAATCCAGCATATTTTTAATTGAAAAAGTATTGCATATAATATTTTAATCATACTTTATTTATTATTAATATAATAAATTTCCTAGAAATTTTAATAACTCGTAACATAATCCACCCGATTGAGAATTTATTATTTAATAACGTATCAATAACATAGAAGTTATTATTGAAAAGAGCTGTTATAGATATTTCAGATAATTAAAGTAGGATTTTAATTTGAGTATGCAAGAAAATAGCCTATTTAATAAGTAAAATATAGAGAAAAATAAGCGATTTCTAAACATTTATTTTACCATTCTGTAGTTCTGTTCGTAAGATTTGTGAAAAAAGGAAACGAATAGGACGAGTTGTTTTATAAGGAAATCGTCTCCGTATTATTAAATTTTATTTATATAAAAATTTAAATTATTTCTCACAAAATATAATTATTTTATATACATTTTTTTTTTTACTCCTATTATCTAATAGAGGAAGTATATTTAAACAAAAGTGTTCTATTATCTTAAGATCTATAAACAAAAAAAAAGGGGAGAAAAAAATCCTTGATAAAATTTGTACATTACCTTCAAAATATAAACATAATAATTGGATAATTAGTAAATAGGTTAAGGACATGTTTAAATGTGTAAAAAAAAAAATTCTGTATGGTTTCAATTGAGAGATGAATGACATAAATGTATACATAAAGATATTCGTAGAATTATTATGGAAAAATATAGAATTTAAGATAATTTTAATGCCATTAAAATTATAAATTTGGCTATAGAAAAATATTTTTTTTTTACTATTATAAATAAGTTTAAAAAGTTTTCTTCTTTAATATAACAGTAGACCCCCCCATAACACTGTAGATAATTCCATGTTATATGAATTCCATGTTGTACGAGTCACTTAGATTTTACAAATATGTGTGCCAGGCTGTGAACAGCTCATGTATTTGTAAAATCTAAGTGACTCATACAACGTGGAATTCATATAACACGAAATTATCTACAGTGTTATGGGGGGTCTACTGTATATTAAGATTTTACTTAATTTAATGATATTATTTAATAAAAATTGTATACTTTAATTAATTATTTTAACGACAATTTAATTTATTTTAAACAATTTAATAATTACACACTAAAAGTTATGTACCAGTCGACCCCCCCTATAACACTGTTGATTTTTCCGTTTTATATGAATTCCATGTTGTACGAGTCGCTTAGATTTTACAAATACGTGAGCAATTCACAGCCCGACACACGTATTTGTAAAATCTAAATGACTCGTACAACATGGAATTCATATAAAACGGAAAAATCAACAGTGTTATAGGGGGGGTCGACTGTGTATATATAAATGTAAAGACTGTTGTAAAACGAATAAAAATTTTAGAAATTTAATAGAATTATTAATATTTACTGTATAGAACAGTATATTAAAACGATCTTACCCAGAGCAGGAATAAGAAAGAAATTCTTAGAAGATCGACGTTTGTAGTTCAAAATACCAGAATGTGGGGAGTGTTGACACGTAAGAGCTTATCGTGACTGTCAGCACTCTCCAATATTTATTAGCCTAAGGAACAGAGTTCATTCAATAATTCCGAATTCATTTCGTATCGTTTTATCCAATAGATGTTCAAGATCATTTAATAAGAAAATTCTTATATTAAATTTTTTAAACTATAACTGCGCATCAGATTTCGTTTACTGTTAACTACTTTTATTGATTAAATCTATTTAGGATGCAAATATGTACAATTTAGCTATTTTTACTTATTATATAATCATAAATAAAATGGTTTAGTGAAGATAAATTGACTTGTAAACAAAAAAATAATATGGTAAAAGACACAATTGGATCTTTATTACATAAGTACAATACATTTTCTCTTGAACTTAACGCTTAATTTGTAATTAAAATTAAAAAAAACCATTCTATATATTAAAAATTTACGAATTAGTAAAGGTAATTAACATTTTATACGAAAATTTATACACATTTTAGTAAAAAAAAATTGAGAAGTGTTTATGATTCTATCGATAATATAACACCATCCTTTGTTAATTCAACATTTGTAACCATTTAAAATTGGATAAAATATAATTATAAGAACGATTTAAATATTCTTTAAAGGTTTAATCGGCATTTTTATATATATTATTATAATTATATTATCAATTTTCTATTTTAGAGAAGTCATCGAAAAATTACTCGATTTTTTCGATAATTTTTACAGTTGATTGTACTATAATTATATTAAAACTTACTTCAAAGAATTGTTTAAAATATAAATAAAAAAAATAAAGATTTATTACTTAACTATTATAAATAAAAGTTAAAAAAAAAAAAAAAAACTTATGTGACTTACCTCACAACCAGATTAGAAAAGGGTGTTTCTAGCCACGTGTTATATATATATATATATAGGCCTATATATGTTTGTTTACTTCAACCGAAACTATTTGATTTCTTTTTTCTCGAATTAAATATTAAATAATAACTTCTTGACCGATTATAATAGTTTTCTGATGCGCATATAGACATATTTCGCCACTATTCCTACTTCACAAATAAAAATGGATAGTTTGCATGTAATCATGGCCATTGGATACAGACTACGGATGTCATTTTGTCTCATTACCACGTCCTGAATGAGTTCACTGTACTTCCCTTTTAACTTATTGTTTTATAAAAATACTCTCTTTTGTTTTCTATTAAAGAAATTTTCCTTCAAGGTTTACCTTATTTTGAAAATTTAATCCATTGTAACGATTGAAAAAACGAGTTTATTATTCATTTTAATTATTATTCGAATTCTATTTTACTATAATAAAAATGAAATTCATTACGATTTTTCCGGGATTATTTAATAATAAAGTCGATAAAATGGTGTAAATAACGATATCACTTGATTACGATTATCGTTATTGCTTGAAGGACGATAAAGTTTATGGATGAATTCCACATAACATATTTATTAACATATTCTAAATAAATATATAAAATTTGAAGGAATAACTCGTTTAATTAATTTAAAATTCAATAATACGAAAGGTAGATCAAAATTGTATTACTATTATAATGAATTTTGTATTCCTTTTTTACATCACCGTGAAGTTTTCTGCTCGATTAAAGCGATTTAAGTACAATAATTGAATATTATTAAATATATTAATTAATTAACAATAATTAATTTTATTTCAGGGTAATGTCTATTGTTCTTACCTGAATTATACCAGTCGGAATCCTTGTTAGTAATGAAAGTACGTGGGTTGATACGTAGACTTAAAGGAAAATCTGTTAGAATGATGTTGAATTGACGTGAATTCCAATCGATTATGTATTTTTATAATTTCACAAGCCTAAAGAATATACATTATTGAAATTTGCTTGTATATCAATGAAGCTAATTGCTTGATCTACAATCGAACCTGTAAACAACGTCCACTGACGGTAACACAAAAAAATTGGCCACTGTTTAGAGATGACCGGTGATTTAGACATATAGAATTTGAATGAACGTAGTTAAAAATTATAATATTTTTATTATTTATATCAAAATATTTTTTAACAACTGCAAATACAGCATTTAAGAGAGAAGGGAATATAAACTCCTTTGGAGTTTTTGTGGAGTTAAATTTAGGTAAATAATTGATTAAATCATTTCTTTTAAATTTCAAATTCTTAAATGAATAATAAAATTTCCTAAAATATTCATTATTATACCATTTTATAATTTATTTATTCAATGTTTGATGCTCTGATTCTGCTCATTTTCATACAATTGTGATCATGTGTATAAAATTCGACCACCCTATAACAATGTTGATTTTTCTGTTTTATATGAATTCCATGTTGTATGAGTCACTTAGATTTTACAAATACGTGAGCCATTCACAGCCCAGCACACGTATTTGTAAAATTTAAGTGGCTCGTACAACATGGAATTCATATAAAACGGATTTATCAACAGTGTTATAGGAGAGTCGACTATTGTCAAAATTGTCAATAGTACAATTTTTTTATAAACTAATTTCTCTACCGAACATTTAATTTAGAGTAATAAGCAGATAAACAATATATGAATTAATGAAGCTAATTTTATATATTACATAATCCCTCCGGCCTTCTTACGTATGTAGTGATTGTAAAGTACCCCTATTTAACATTGTCTGTAGCCATTTTTTCGGTTTAAATAAAAACAAATTTAGCATGGTAAAATTTCAGAAAATTTTGTAAAAAATTCGTCTTTTGGCCTTGTATTTTCGGTTATGGAGACACTGGGTTATCGAGAACATGTTGCAAATTTGATAACCTTGAAAGTCAGTATAGCACTATATGTGAGAGGACCAAAAGAGGGTGGTTCTTCGCTTTGTTTTACATCTGCTGAGTGGGGACGACACTGAACAGAATTCCTTAAATTGCTAAAAATCTCTGTATAGCACGAACTTCTTGAAAAAATAAAACGTTTGTACATGCAGCACCAAAAAAATACCACAGTGGTGCGGGCGTTTTGTTACAAAATGAACATTCTAATTCATTTGATATACTAAAACATAATAACGTAATGATAAATTCAAAGACGATTTACATATATTTATTTATCAGGTTAAATTAATACATAGTTTAATTTAAGGAGCATTCGTTTCATTAGAACAGTGTTCACCACGTCAATTTGACGTCATCTTAAGCTACCTCTTTTTATAAGAAAGCATAAAAGTGACGTAAAAAATGATGTAAGAGTGGGTACTGTTCTGAATGCGCCTGTAATTTCTATATTTATATATTTAATATATAACTTTATTAATGCGATTTGCAGAGTCAGCAAATAAATATCCACTTTGATAAAGAAAGATTGTTCACCGCTAAATTAATTAATTTTTAATTAATCTTAATTAATGACGAAAAACATTTAATCAGGAAATCTTTGCTTTAATTGTAAAATAAAAACAAAAATTATAAATATTAATTATTTATATAATAGTTTTAATTTTTATTAAAGACGATGGCGACACTACACAGTTATTATTTTACAGTTTATGTTACTTCCCTCACCTCAGGCCATGATTAGTATAATTTAAAATGCTTTTTTATTACCTATAAGTGAGAAATAATTGAAGTAAACAAGGCTTTCGATTGTAGATTACTATATATTTAATACAATAAAATTTAATAGAGATGTTGCGGTCGAAGTTTTCATCTCTCAAACGTGAACGTCAAACGTAAGCGGCGCTCGACGTTCGGCGTTCACGTTTAAGAGATGAAAACTTCGGCTGCAACCTCTCTAATAATACAGTAATTTAAACCTCTTTGCAATATTTTATTGTAGTTCTTTTCCTTTATTTACATATTATTTCAAATCATATTTCTTCTTGAATTTTTCAACTAATTTGTTTGAAACTTTCTTTCTATCGTATGAGAGCCCCAGAAAGGCCATAATGTCGATAAAAACTGTTGAAATATTCAATCTCCAACCATATTCGCTTGTGGAATAATCCCATGGAAATTTATGATGAAAATTATGGAAGCCTTCTCCATTTGTTAAGTAAGAAACGATGGCATTCTCAACAGAAGAGATATTTTTATCGTAAGGTTTATATCCCCATTTATGTGCCGCGCTATTAACCAACCAGGTGATATGTAAACTACGAATGTATCGGTAACAAAATGATATACAAATACATTCTTGCCAGCTTACATCCCAAAAATAATAAGGTATCAGAGAAGGGACGATGATTGCCATTAATATAACAAGCGGAACATAATATCTGGAAAATAAAAATTTAAATTACAAAATCATCAACAGACTGGAGTTTTTTTTTAGGTTTCTTCACTTGTATAACACATAAATAGTGGAAGTATTCTATAAAAATTCCTTCTGGAAGGTGCCTCTCTCTCTTGGCAGATTGCCTAATAATGGATAAACTAATCTCATAAAATGGATTGGATTAATGGAATAAAACAACGCAACGAATTGATAATCTGACAAAGTGGTACCTCCTCCTGAAAGGACTTTCTAACTATCCCCTATTCAGGTGTTAAAGTAATTACAGTAGAGCGTCGATTATCCGAATCAATTGGGAACTGAGGTTGTTCGGAAGATCGATGTTTCGGATAACCGATTATGTACGAAAAAATATATTAATTTACCCCATCTTGACATTTTTCTCCGTTGCGTGTCGCTTTGCGTTGAATTTTAGTCGATGTTAAGCCTAACGAAGACTACTGTATCGTTAAAAATTATTTTTTTATTTTGTACGAACAAAGTAAATATATTTAAAAATATAAAAACAATAAAAAATTATACTTCAGAAGTTAATTTAGTATCAAAAACGTAAAATATTTGAGTAGCCGAAGACATAGCCAAATATTGCAGCGCCACAGCACTGGCGAAAATTTAAATTTGCCGACTGGAATTCTTTCGGATGATTGACGTTTCGAATGATTGACTTTCGGATAATCGACGCTCTACTGTATTACTTTTATTTCACAATTTATTTTTTTATGTTTTAAAACTAGTTAAAGCCAAGTCTTAAATTTATGTAAATTAAATTAAATGTTTTTAAATTTTTATACTTTATCTGAAATTGAACTACTGGATCAGTTAGAACGTCGCTAACATCAATAGTTTTTCCTTTCTCTATGACTGCAGGATGTTTTTTTACCATAAGCCAACCCATGTGAGAGAAGAAAAAACCTCTTTTGGAATTATATGGATCAGCATCAGTGTCAGTGAATTTATGATGAACACGATGATCTCTACACCAAACGTATATGTTATCCTACAAAAATAAATATATAGAAAATCATTTATAACATTATTTTTTGCATAAATTTTGTCCGGTTAAATAAATTTACACGCAAAATAAATATTAAAAAAATTACTTGAAGCATGGAACAATTTAGTAGCATCAACAAAATTCTCAATGGTAACCTTGCTTTGTATGTTCTATGGCACCACAATCTGTGCGCTCCTGCAGTAATTCCAAGCGAACAAAAATTACCCATTATTAACACTGAAAAGAAAGACTAATTGTAAATATATATTCAAAAAATAACTATAATGATAATTTGACATTTTTTACCAGTAAATTCGGTAAAAATAAGTAAACTTGTAATAATTTTTAAGCTAAATAGACTTTCATGTATGTTTATACAGTAGAGCGTCGTTTATCCGAAGATCGGTTATCCGAAGGAATTCCAGTCGACAAATTTAAATTTTTGCCAGTGCTGTGGCGCTGTAATATTTGGCTATGTCTTCGGCTACTCAAATATTTTACGTTTTTGATACTAAATTAACTTGTAAAGTATAATGTTTTATTGTTTTTATATTTTTCAATATATTTATTTTGTTTGTACAAAATAAAAAAATAATTTTTAACGATACAATAGACTTCGTTCGGCTTAACATCCACGAAAATTCAACGCGAAGCGACACGCAACGGAGAAAAATTTCAACACGGGATAAATTAATATATTTTTTCGTACATAATTGGTTATCCGAAAAATAAGTTATCCGAACAACCCCAGTCCCCAATTGATTCGGATAAACGACGCTCTACTGTATTTATACATATATTTGAAGTAGAAGGATCAAATGTGTTTTTATTTTAATTAATTTCTAAATAATTTATCATTAGAAGCAGGAGTTAGGAGCCATTTCTTATAAAATTTAATAATTATAATTAAATAATTTATAAATTATTAATTTAGAATTAATTATAAAATACTAGAGGAGAAGTAGCTCGATTTAATCCGGTATTCGTTCGGTCTATTACTAATGTATCAGGTTTCGGGATGTTTGGCTCGATAGAGTACGGTAACACAATACGTGGGCTCCTGAAAAGAAATTCTGAAAATTGGCTCCTATTAGGTTGTTATATACGTGAAGAAAACTCGAAAAACACTGGCCATCCCGTTAGTGGAGCGCAAGCTAGCGATTAGTGTTCAATGGTTTAATATGAGGATGCAATCTCTGTAACAATAATTTTGAATTCCATAGATATTTTACCGTAATTTACAGTATCGTACATACGAATACGTTTTATATAATAAGAGCATAGATAACAAGAGAGAAATAATAAGTTGTAATAAGAGCAAATCCAATTATTATTGCTATTTTAGCTTACTGTTGTTACGTTTATCACGAAGTATCAATAAGATTTTATACTTCGAGAATGAGGAGTTCAGATTTCGTGAAGTCTTTATTTTTCTCGGAGTCGCAGAGAATAAGTATAAAAAAATTTAGTAAAGATCGACCAGAAAGCTAAGAACAGAGAGAGATAAATATTCCATTATACTGTATATATATAGGGTTTGGACGGTTTCTATGGTCAGGATCGGTGGTAGGAGATGTGACGTAAGCTGCGAGACCCAGCACAATTGTCTCCGAGCCTTTGGAGTGTGTAGATTGCGCCCGAAGTGAAAGTGTGTTTAGTGCTCGAGTCCAGAGTCAAGATGCAGCGAACCATCGAGCAATGTTTTGCCATCAAATTTTTTGCGTTAAATTGAACAAATCCATTATTGAAACTTTTGATATGATCCGTGAGGCTTAGGCTACAAGGACGAAGCCATGTCCAGAACGCGTGTTTTTGTGGCATAAAAAAGTCAAAGATGGCCAGCAGACTTCCGCGCTGAACTTCCCAAAACCGATGTAAATGTGGCCAAAGTGTGCGAGAACTTTTGAGGATTAGGGTCCACCGCATCCGAAAAGAGATCGCCGATACCTGGATCCATCACTACAATGCGCCAGTCACACGTCGCTAATTGAAAGGGAGGTACTGGCTAAACACAATGTGCCAAGGCTGCTCCAACCACCCTGCAGTACAAATGTGGCTTCCCTGACTTCTTTTTGTTCACTCGTATCAAAAGAGCCTGAAAGAACATCGTTTCGGGACGATTGAGGAGGTCCAAGCGGCTTCAACGGGGTGCCACCTCGCTGTTGCCGCCTTCCAGGAGACGTATGAAGACTGAAAAAAAAAAAAAACGTTGGCAGCGGTGTATTGATGCAGGAGGGTCATATTTTGAAGATTATTAGCTCACTGTACATATATCTTCAATAATTTTCTTTTTATGATTTCACTCCCGATACTTATTGGACAAATCCTGTATGAGAAATCGAAGAGTGCAACAACAATTCCGACAGAACATAATAATTCCGTGAAAACGTCTAGTCGAAAAGATTAAACAGTTCCGAGAAATCAGAATAATTTCGCATTTAAATCAATTCAAACAGTTTCAGTTTGGCCTCCGGAACTAGATTTTTCTTACCTCTAATCCATAGTTCGAACATTATATCAATATCGACTAATACGATTTAAATAAATAAGTTCAATATTGTGTTATTTAAACATTTAAATTTCTATTAAAAAAAGAAAATTTAGAAGATGGCGACGATACCCATATTTTGTCCTTATAACGCCTATATCTTTAGTATTTTTTTTTTAAAATAAAATGTGAACTCGGATAGATATAAACTGTTCTAATAATTCCAGTACAGTAAGGTTCGCTTTGTTAAACCGTTCGTTCTCTCGCTTACTTGGCTGCTTGCCTCTACCGAACCTTACGATTTTATTTTTTATAAATTCAAATTTCAATTTTAGAGTAACTTAATATAGATAAAATAGTAAGAAATTTTCTTTAAATTTAAGAAAAAATATTTATAACTTTAATATTAGATTTTAAATAAGAAATTCTTACTGTATATGTAATGTTTAAGATTAAAATATTGGATAAATCCACAAATTCCCAACATGTGTAAAATGATGAACTTAAGAACGTTTCCCCATATGATTTCATTCTGGTATGACTTATTGAATTTCTTATTAAGATTTTTTTCATTTTTTCTACTTAAAACTGACAAATTCTTCGAAACCTAAAAACATATTAAATTTATTATATTCGAGTTTATTTATATAATATATAAATTATATTATATTACTTACCTGTACTTTACATAATTTATTAAATATTTGTAACATTCTGCGTAATTTTAAATTCAAATTTTACAGTTAAAAATATCTGTAATTAATAAATTAAAAAAAAA